CTTTTCTTTTTTTTATCTGCTTTGCCATCCTTTAAGTTATACATTTTTTATCATTCATTAGTTATTCTTTGAGTAATTACAGGATTTGCCAATCTTATTACAATAAGACAAATATAAAAATTAGTACATTTACATCACAAGCATGCAAGAACTGTTCAACCATTTAACTTCATTCATCCACTTCTTTTACTTTGTGCTATTATTTCATATATTTTTCTTCTGCATGTATACAAACCTCACAATATATTGTAATTTTATTGCTACAAGTAATCAGAACTATTTTGTAATTACTCAGATATTTGTCTTTTCTTGTACTATTCATTTGTTCATGCAGTTCCTTCCTTTCATCTGGCTTTATTTTTCTTGAGCCTGAAGAATGTCTCTCAGCTCACCTTAGAAGGGCTCTTTCCTAATTGCATTGTCAACTCCATTATTTCCCTTTGTTTCCTCTGCATGTTGATGCTTTTAATATATTTCTTTGTTTGATTTGTCTTTTTTTTTTTCTTCCCCTAGAGGTTGCAGTGGGAGTAATGTCCTGATACTACCTACTAAATTGTATACTACAAAGAAAGTCCACTGACCAATTTGAATTTTAATAGTTGATTTTTTTAAAAAAAATTCTCTTTGTCTTTGATTTAATTTGCCTAGCAGAAGCTTATGCATATTTTAGAGATGGAATGCAATTGCTTCCTAATTTGTCTGCCTTATACATTTTTTTTAAATTCCTTAAAACAAGACATATTTGTATTCTGTCTAGAGTGTAGTACTTATGTTATGTATTAGCTTGTTTGACATACACTGGTTTTATTAATGTAAAACCTTTGGTAAATATGAGTTTCTAAAATCTGGACACTGTCAATGTTTGCCTAGGAAAAGATGTTGAGCTTAATTGCTCTGCTTTGCTGAATAAAGATGATGTGGTTTATTGGAGCTTCTGGAAAGAAAATGAAACAGATCACAATGTACATGAAGAGAAGGAGCCAAAAATATTTAGGTATGTATATGACGTTATAAAAAACACTGTACTCCACATTGACTGATGTATGATTTAGGGTTAGTTTAAAATACAATTATAGTTTTATGGTTATAACTTCTAAACTGTAGGTTTATAGACTATGCAAAAATTATTACCCAGATCTAAACTAGAAAAAAAAGGCCAATGAGACCATTTCATTTTACTTTTTAGAAGCAGATTTTGTTCAGGATTGATGGTGATAGGGATTTTACCTAAGCATTTTATCAAAGAGCAATTACAGTTCTTTTGTATTTTGAAAAGTGTGTTAAATGTTGGCATTTTACTACTGTGTAATTACAGGATTTACCAGAGAAATGGTTAGGTCAGGAGTCTGACCAGATCTGTATAAGTTAATGCAGATCATGTATGTGTATGACCTGCCTCACCATGTCACTCATGCATCGGTGTAGTGAGCTGTCTCTGTGTTGCAGGGCGCATCATCAGTATTTTCTTGCAGGGCTTTAGGTGCAGCCAAAGTCAACAGCCATTTACTCCCACTTCTCCCAGTTCTCCATTCTGTACACAAAATTTTATTTGTTTCTGATTATTGAAAATAATGCATTATAAGAAATTTGGGAAATACAGGAAGTCATAAAGGAGGAAATAGCCATTTAAAGACAGCTTTGCATATGTTTTGGGAATTCCTTTGATGGGCACAAGATATGTTGACATTTATGCTGCCTCCTGCATTTTTAGAGATAGTTTACTTCTATTTAGAACATCAGTTACAATGACTGGTTTATTAAAGATGAGAATTGAGAAATTTTATCCAGTATAGAAAGGTTTCTAGAAATTATGACTTATGTTTCAGGGGAACACTAATGAAATTGCCAGTAGTCTACACCCTTGACATTCATTGTTGGTGGACTGGCATTGAACATAATTATTATTTCATTTCCCTCTCAGATTCAGTTAAGGAAAGTTAGAAAAACAGTAAGGAGAAGTAGAAAAAGGAACTATTATTCAATTTACAGTTGAAGATCCTCAGGTTTAAGTGTTTAAGTAACTTTCCCTAAGATTCAAGATAAAATGATCAACCCAGGATGGGAACCCAGACAGTGAGTCCTGATTTCTCTCTCATAAGACCATGTGCACCTCTCTTGTTCTCAAGCCATGAATTGAGACTTATTTTTGAGTTCCTTTGTTTTTCTTATCACCCAGAGTATCTAATTTTCTTAATCCACTAAAGGCTCACTGCTGTCGAGTCATTTCTGACTCATAGCAACCCCTCCTTAGGTTTCTGAGGTGGTATCACTATAGAAGTAGATTCCTTCCAAGGAGTGGCTGTTGGGTTTGAGCTGCCAGCAGTCAAATGCCTTAGGTACTGTGCCGTCAGAGCAAAAAACTAAACCTATTGCCATGAAGTTGATTCTTTCTCATGGAGATCCCATGTATTACAGAGTAGAACTGATTCATAGAATTTTCTTGGCCTTAATCTTTATGGAAGCAGATCACCATGCCTTTCTTTCATGGCACCATTGGGTGGATTCAAACTGCCAACCTTTAGTGCCACCAGACATGCAATTAGTATTCAAATTCTGTTAAATTGCCCAGCTATCCTGCCAATGTATGTTACCCTTAGCAACTGTCCTACGTTGGATTTCCTTGTTTTCCTGTTCTAGTTCTCCATTTCTACTCTATAGAACCCAAACTATTGGGATGTTGTTGGTAGGTGTCAGCTCCAACTCATAGAGACACTACATACAACAAATGAAAGACTGCCCAGTCCTGCACCATCCTCACAATCCTTACTATACTTGAGCCCATCGTTGCAGCTCCTGTGTCAATCTATGTTATTGAGGGTCTTCCTTTTTTGCTGACCCTCTACTTTACCAAGCATGAATCCTTCTCCAGGGAATGGTCCCTTCTGACAACATGACCAAAGTAGGTGAGACAAAGTCCAAAGAACTGCACTTCTTCCAGGACAGATTTGTTCATTCTTCTGGCGGTGCAGGGTATTTTCAGTATACTTTACCAGCATCACAATTGAAAAGCATCAACTCGTCGTTGGTCTTCCTTATTCATTCTCAGTTTCCACATGCATACGAGGTGATTGAAAATACCATGGCTGGCTTAGGCACACCTTAGTCTTCAAAGTGACATCTTTGCTCTTCACCAGTTTAAAGAGGTCTTTTGCAGCAGATTTGCCTACTGCAATACCACATCTGATTTCTTGACTGCTGCTTCCATGGGTATTGCTTATGGATGCAAGTAAAATGAAATGTTTGACAATTTTAATATTTTCTCCATTTATTGTGATGCTGTTTATTGGTCCAGTAGTGCTTTCGTTTTCTTTGTGTTGAAGTGTAATCTATAATCCAGACTGTAGTCTTTAATCTTCATTAGTAAGTGTTTCAAGGTACCTTCACTTTCATCAAGAAAGATTGTGTTGTCTGCATAGCATCTTTCTCCTATTGTGATTCCATGTTCTTCTTCATATAGTCCAGCTTCTTGGATTATTTGCTCAGCATACAAATTGAATAAGCATGGTGAAAGAATACAACTCTGACACACACCCTGTGATATAGTTGAAGATCTGTCAACTTGGCTGGACTTCACTTGTGAGTGTTGTTTCTCATGATGGATCACATGACTATGTCCTAAGCGGCCGGTCAGTCT